GTCGTCGCCGCCGACGCCGCAGTGAGCAGCTCCGCTGGTATACATGGCCCTTCTTCCCCGTGTTATGATTTTCCCATGCTTATCTCATTCCATTTCCATTCCGAGCATTGCTATTGGACAGTACCTTTCTCCGAGTAGACCTTCCCATGGACGCTATCTTCTTCTCACACGTTATCTTCCTTGACTCACCTTCTACCAATGGGCGCCTTTGTATTTCTCATTTCTCTGAGTTACGTTCTCACAGGATGGCTTACGCGTCCTTTCTTATTGTTCTCTTCTTTGGGTATTAACCCCTATACCAGTTACTATATATACTGTAGGAAAACCCATGTATTCCTTAGTTCAACCTCCTGTTGAATACAGCGATTACCTGGACTCTTGACTTGACCGTTGGCATTGGCCCGGCCAGACCTACCTTTCAGTACGCTTACTGAGGTAGTGACGACATAACTGTTGGCACGTGGCCCAGTTATCTCAAGACGACTAGTTAGGACATCGCTTCCTAACACCCCGGTGAGCGTGTACTGTCGCAGGCTAGATGATGGCCGCAGTTCGGTCACTAAGGTGCGTCCATTCTCTCGATCCTGCGTCTCGACGAAGTCTAATACGTGTCTGTGTCGTAGGCCTGATAGTTGGTTGGTTGTTGTAAAGTGAGTATGGTACCCGTTGTACAATATGTTTACTGAATCTAAGATATCTCGATAGGATCAGTGTATCAACCACCTTGCCGCCATCTCCAGTGTCGAGCTATGCGAGTACGTGAGTGCTTCCTTGAGGCTGTGGTATGACTTCTACTGATCTAACATCTGGCAGGTAGTCTTTGTGTTGTTGCTGTTGGTAGGGATTTGAATAGGGAGCCCCGAGGAGGGGGGGGCTGGGGGATGCATGGTTCAGGGTCAGGGCGGGTATGACACAGTTTGCTGTACTATTCTACATAGAGAATATACAAATATGTTGGTGCCTCAACTGCATTGCACACTGACTGCTAGGGGTGCCAAAGCCAAGGAATGGTGGTTGGAATAACCAGATGGAAATAGACCACTAAACGGTTGGAAAATGTCATTTTTGGCCGTTGTGAGGGGGGGTCGAAATTCACAATTTGGTGGGACAAAATGATACGGTGTCTTTCGTACGGTAAGCGGACAATTTCAGCCTTCTACCGACCGAAATTGATTTGTCTAGCGAACGAATATACCGGTCGATTTTAGACCGGTCTCACGCCTCCAGAGCGGTCGTTCAAGTGAATGAAGACCGCTGGTATATTTTCGCGTGGGAATCCAGTATACGCGCGGATCTGTGACTGGTTGACTACAAATGGTCAATAATATCATGTCAACAATATGCACTTGACAAATGACTCTGCCTCATTCACTTGAACGACCGTCTGGTCACCAGCCTACCTGATGGTGTAGGGTGTAATAAGTAAAGTCGTGTCTTCTTCAAACCTCCTGCACTGCTCCATGTCAGCCTATCCTTGAGATGCTCAGGAACTTATATTATGGCCTGTTTATTGAACTTTTCATGGGTATTCCGCAGTTATGAACTGCAGCTCGCCATGAGGCCTACATGCCGCACAACCACGCCGCGGTTTAGCACTCCAGGGTACCTGTAACCTCTTACGCCACTTCCGCAGGAAGATGGTTCCCACTTCCCTGCTCTAGGTGGTGCCCTCTGACTGAATATGGTATCTACATACACCTACCCTTCATCTGCTGGTGCTTCAGAGGCAATGATAGCGAGCATGGTTCATCCTGTACCGTGTTGATACAACGTGCAGTTCCATCCCTGCGCCACTCCTAGAGCTTCCTAACATTTAACAACCCAACTTCTCGAATCCGAGCTCGTCGAGGGAGGTTAACGGGTGGCTTACTGGAGAATGTTTCCCCTACCCCGAAGCATACCAGCCTTGGCATAAATGCGCAAGCTCTCTCTTTTTACCCTTTGACTCTAATCCCCCCGCCTATGGGTTGAAAGTCCTCCGCGCTCCTCCTTATCCTTGCCTACCCCGCCCTCTCAAGATGCTCTGTGCGTCTCCAGACCATTCCTCCTTTCTTCGTATACCCTCCCTCCTTTCCCGTCATGTGCGTAAGCCGCTTCACTCGATCCCGAACTGGCCATCCCCTCATCACAACAAATGCACCGAGCCGTCAAACATCTGCTCTTACCCGAACCCGCCGCAGCCCGTGAAGAGAACGTACGCGTGCCAGGGCCCCGGTTGTTCGGGGACGTACACCGTGAGCTGGTGTATGGCGCGTAAGGCAGACGGGTATTACAGGGAGGTCTTCAGGATACGAAGGGAAGTAGTGGCAATGGGTGCTCAGGTCAATGACAGTCGGGACAGCGCCGGGTCGGAGGAAAACGCAAGTCCCGAGAAGGGCATACCCAGACCGACGCTCGGGGACAGGAGCTTTTCATCAATGGATATACCAAGGAGAAGTCTGGGCTCGCCAGGACTCTGCCGGACGACTAGGCAGGGCGTGCTCAACGGGTACGAAGGTCGGTGGCGGAAAGCCCAGGAGTATCTGGAGGACCAGATAGAGCAGCAGTTATACCCGGACAAGAAAGTCCGGCAGAGGTGGTACGGTTGCGCACTCCTAAGCGTTCTTGGTACCTTACTTATTTCATATTATGGTATCACAGGATATAGCCCCGGCGCGGGATATGTGATATGCAGCCAGGATCGAGTGCTGGAGGCGCTACCTGGTCGCCCTTTCATGATGCATGATGAAGAGCGTACTGCTGTCCAGGTCCTCGCGGCGCACCTGGCCGGAATGAAGGCCTTTCAGTACCGAGCCATCAAAGAAAGGGGTGGCGATTACGTTCTCGCATATCAGGCTTTGGGAGCTGTAGAAATCTGACGGGAACTTCGGGTTCTTACCTTAGGATTATAGGTTCATGCATTCAGCGTCTCCGCGCACCTTACTGGGAGGAACAAGCATCTGCCCATCCACGACCTTCCGATTTAGTCACACCTGGATCTAGTTTCTCGACTAAAGCTAGCAAGAGGAAGAGATCTTGGTCCAGAGACAAATTTTCAAAAAGTGATACAATAGGACGGTCTGAAGCTCACTCTGATAGCAGAGTTTCTTCAAGCTCGAAACTTGAAGCAAGATCAGTCGTCGAGGGTATGTACCGTAGTGGTCTTTGTGGGGCCCGCAACTCCGACTCGCTCCGCATACGTTGTAAGTAGTCGGAACGCTTGCGATTGGCTGCGACATATGCACATCCGACTTAACTCCGTTTGGTTCGGATCCATCAACAAGCCATTCACTGGCAAATTCGGTGATCTTCATTCTCAAAACAGCATACATAGAGCTGACTCTACCGCCTCTGTGCTCGTGTGTCTAGAAGCATTTATTCTTCCTGTTAGAACGAGACAGCGCACACGCATGCCAGTCCCACACTTCCACCACATCCGGAAGGCTCTATATCGCTCAGGAAGTGTATTGCCGGGTTCGCAGAAAATGTCGCTGCTTGAACGTGGGCGGATCGTTAATTGCCTTAGCAGTAGTCTCCCAGAAGGTGACAGGGTCATCCCAGTGAATCTTTCCACGGTTATGTCAGCAACGACAGAACTGTAAGGTTCAACGCACGATACTCACAAAATGATTCCCTTCGAGATACTGAAACTTGATTGGCCGAAGCCCGATCCCTTTCTCGAGACATTCATTATACATCCTCTCCGTTTCGCTGAATCCATACAGGCATGACCCAAGCGTGGATGTGCAAACCTGGAGGACAATCTCTACATTCGGGAAGATCTCGCGCGTCACTTCCTCATCAAACAACGCCTTCTCTGTCTGCTTCCGCAGCGCGGGCTGCATAACAGTCAACATCGGCACCTCAAGGCGCACAAGCGCTGCGGAGTCGCAGTTTCGCGCACACTGCTCCGAGGTCATGGAGTCGATGGATGCCCTCTCTGTCCGAGAGGAGAAGTCGTACTGCATAATGTCGCGTGTGGAAAACTTGGACTGGTCGTAGTAGCTGGAGACCCAATGCGGCATCATTTTGGCTACGTCGGCCGGTGTGGGGAAATCGGGGTTGTACCACGGGAGGCATCTTTTGAGTTCGCAGGGAAGTTCGTAGCCGAATGCGAGGTGTGGTGGATCTGTAGGAGGCAACTTATCAGTGACTAAAATCCAGAATTCCTTGACAGAATCAAGGGCACCGACCATAGAGTATTAACATCCGATAGTAAGGTTTGAGCCTGTCATATACCCGTTTGGGAACCTTATCAGGGTGTCCAAATAGAGCGATCGCCCAAGCACAGCCCATCGACCAGCCCAACACGGCGAGCCCACCAGATTTGCCGTCGGAGCTGACCGGCGGGATCTTATGGGTTTCGGCGAACCAGACAAGGAAGTTGGCCACTTCCAGGGCGGCGCGCACCATAAATACTATGCGGCCTGCGTTCAGGTCTTCTAGCTCCGAGTCTGAGTACTTCGTAGAGCCAGCATAGTCACGTCGGTTCAAGGTGACCAGCCGGATATTGTCCTTGCCGGCTAGCGGAACGACCTTTTCAAAAGTACCTAAGAAAGAACATAATCAGAAGTCAATCGAGACTGGGCGCTGCAGATCCTCACTTCCTGTGAATGCTGAGCCATGGTATATGACCAAGGTAGTATAGTCGTCCGACCCTGGAACAGGTCCACTGTCCGTAAAAAATATTTCAGTGCCCTTGGAGTCGATGATAGCGGTAGACATCCTGGGATATGTGTAAGGCGATACGTTAGAAGGCAGCAGCAGCACACTTCGTCTTTATGTGGGCCATAGCAGACAACGGAGCCGAAGGCATCACCATAAAGTGGAGTACACTGGTGGTGCTTTCAGATATGGTCTTCAGATATCAGCCAGGCGTTCGCAGCAAGTGTGCTCCATATCGGACGCAGAACTCTGAGTGCAGGTTCGGTGCAGCGAACCATCCTTGATATGATGAGTGGTTTCCAAATACGGAGAACGGAGACAGTCCAGATATGAGGAGAAGTAATTGCAGTGTGGCTACGCTCGAGACGTGAGGCTCTAGGATCTAGAGTTGCGATGACACAACCACAGAGTGCAATCAATATGAGTGAATCCATCCCAAGAGCTTCTTTGCACTCGTAAGGAGCGGTAGAAGCACAGCAGCCTTTCGCGGCTCCAGCCGGTTTCCTCCGCAGATGTAGCGGAGCGCTTACCGTGACGATTTGATGCCACATACTTCCAGCTCAGCCACATACTTTCAGCTCAACTCATAACCCACAGATGCTGACGTTGCTGTTTCCCTACGGTCTTCAAGTTCCAATACACTAAGTAGTACTGCTGTGGCGCGTGTGTGCCCTCTGATGAAGCACTACATAAGTCCCAACGGGCATGTGGGAGCAAGCGCTTAGCGCACGTCGATAACCGACTCGAAGGATAGACTATATCCGAATCTTGGTCTCATTTATTGCATGTGACAAGAGTCATACATAGTGCTACTAGTAATAGAACCTGAAATACTTAACGATGCCAAGGTTAGATGAACTTTGTAGCTTTGACCCTAAGAAGTGGAGAATAAAAGAGAAGAGAAGACGGTAGTATAGAAGTCCCGGACGTTGTATAGCTTTCGTGCGTATTCCTAAGCACCGTCTACTAGATTCAGGTAACGGTAAACCCGCGGAGATTGTCAGGCAAACCTCAGATGCCACCCAGGGGAATCCAGAAGAAAGTACCTTACTGGTGAGTGTGGATCGCCATATCGAGGGACGATTACTCATCCGCATGTTCCCAGTGATCCTTGGTCCGTTGGCTCATCAGCAATAATACTCGTAAAGACAAGATCGTCTTCGATGGGCCTGCCAGTGCGAGAATCGAACACGTCATGACAATCTAAGTTCGACTGACCCACACCCACATAGCGTATGTCCGTTCACCTCGCCTTGAAGTCATGTGGCTGGACCTGCGGATATCTCTTCGGGGTGTTCTGAACCAGGTTTCCTAGATAACCAGGACAGACAGGTGAGGCCCTCCGTGTCTAGTCAGCGCGACTGTGGCAAAGACGGTGATGGTGATACGACGCAGAAAGCACGTTCCGATACTAGCGTGGCCGCGAATTCCGCATAACGAGCTCTTGTGATGGCAGAAAGTATTGAGCTATGGTCGTCCTTCGCGGCGTCGACACTGTGATACAGCCACGCAACTTCAGGTCATCAGAACGAACACGAAGTGCGTGAACACGATTACCTGGACTGAAATTGATCAAGTCTGGAGGACGGTAAATAAATAAATAAAAACCTGCTTATCGGCGGCATTCGGAGAGGTCATTGCGCCAGAGATATCAGTCCCTGGAGGAAATCCAATGTCTGTCATTCTCCGCAACCGTCAGTCTGGACTTGTACTCCTTTCGGTCCACAATCAATCGCTCGAGGCGTAAACCCGCTTGAAGCCTGAATGCAATGAAACTCATCAGTTGGGCGACGTGAGCTGGTGCATGGGATGGTATGTACAATACTTGTAGTCTCTTGTGGCCAACAAGACCACGCCACGCCCCGGCGAGCGCATCCCCAATTTCCCAGGAGAAGCGATTGACCTCAGGGAACGTCGTGGGGACCGTATATCGTCTCCTGACACTTTTTGCTGTCCTGTCAAAGCGTCCACTATTTGCAGGGCGATTGACGGTGATTCTACGGGGTCAAGAAGTTGTGAGTTGTTTGATACTCCAGCGTCAAATATAATGAGCTGGCAGAGTCGGCACCCGAGGGCAGACCATCATACCTGGATGGAGCTCTCATCCAGTTCGAGCGCCTGCAGGGAGAGCACTGGCACGGGCCGAGCATCTCAAGCAGTCCGTCGTCAGCCTTTATGAATTTCGTGCAACTGTCGGAGGTTCGCAAGCCTGTTTCGAAGAACGTTGACCGGGTACCGGATGCCGGAATCTCGGGTTGGGCGAGACCCCCGCGGACACAGCACCATCCCAGAGCCCCCCAGCGTCAGGGATATCAATTTAGAGCGACGAAGGGGCTCCAAGAGAAGACCTCCTTCATCAGCGGATCGTGAGTGTCACCTGTGCTGTAGGGACGAGTTCCCAGCTGTCAGGATTTAGGTGAGCCGCGTACTAGTACATGAGCGTACCGGCGTAGGAAGATAGCGCCACTGTTGACGACGACCAGCCTGCGCAGTCTGGGAACGTGTAGCGAGGCAGCCCGCGATTCCGGGCACAACGTCAGGGGGGCGCGCGCCGTTTGGCCCGCTGCCAATGTCCTGCACTGCGGCGTCACAGTGGACGGGACCGACTTTCCGTACGAGTCTGCTGCGACCACGGACCGCGCACGCCCGACGTAGGCAGCGGGTGCTGCTGAGAAAACGGGCGTTGGGCAAAGTATAAGCTACGAATGCGGGCGCAGAGGACGGGCTCCCGGGAAGGGAAAGCGATGCTTTGAGTCCACCAACTCAAGGCGCAGATGGGGATCAAGCGCTGTATTCTCTACGAATTCTGGTTGCGACTGCGTCAGCGACGTCTTACGTCCTCGAGGAGACAGCACGCAGCCCTGAGTTGTATATCCGATGAGATAGCCCAGCGCATACTAGTAGACCATATGATACAGAATAAGATACGATACCCGGTAACAAAGCAATGTCCGTACACCCCGTTCTACATCACACCCTCAAGAATATAATGGTTGAGATACATCCTTGCATTACGCGCACGTCAGAATGTCGCGACGACAGGCAGAATGCGCACGTACCCGGCCGCCACCAAACCGTCCCTCCTACTTCCTCCCAATAAGCGCCGACGCCGTCTGACTCGGCGCGGGAGTCGCCCCAGAAATCACCGAGAGAACAGTTGGCCCCGGCCCCGCGTCCGAGCCCACGCCCTGCGACGCGCCGCCAGAGCTCATACTCGCCGCGGCCGCCGCCGAACTACTCGCACTCGAAGACGCACTCGAGGAATCAGAATGGCGGTGCTTCTTCCCCACCGTCCCGCCGACCGCGCCGCCGACCACCGCGCCGAGGACGACGAGCGCCAGGAGGGCGATGAGCGCCGCGCCCTTGCGCGTGCGCCAGAATGGCGCTGTGGTCGCGGCGTGTTGCGGAGGCGCTGGGGGCGGCGGTTGTTCTTTGGAGTTCAACGAGAGCGGCGGCGGGCTGTCGCCCTTCTCGAGCAGGTCGACGTTGTACCCTTCCTACATAGTCCGCGATTGTGAGTAGCATCAGCATTCCTGCGATGTCGGGCACAGCAACACATAGCGCGTGCGCACCTGCCTCTCCGCCCTGCTCGCGGCAGGCGCGCTCGCCAGCAGATCGCTGTCGTATCCGTTCGGGCGCGTGCTCGTCATTTCTGGGATCGGGGAGGACGGCGGCGGTGGTGGTGAAGACGATGCCCAGCTTACACGTGCGCGGGCGCTGTCATGTCATTTGGAGGGAAAGGGTCGGCGCTTGGGGGCGGCGGTGCGCTCTTTGCACGCTTGTTCCTGGATCGGCAACGGCGTCTCGCAGGCGCTCGTCCGGAGGCGCCCGTGTGGCTAAAGTGCACGGGTGGCGGCATCCAAAGTACTGTAACTGACATTACAAGGCCATCCAGACTATCTATGTTACAGGTTGTGCTTTAAAGGGAGCTGGCCGAACTGCCTGACACGAGGGTGCACCGAGGTTTGGATTTGTAGAACCCACTCCGAGAACGTTCAATGCACACAATTGCGTGCGTTCATACTACCCACAAACCTGGATTCCTTTCGTCGGGCGTATAGCGTTACACGGTCCAGCCGGTAGCCTGAGGCCTGCCTATGCTTAAGGATCGGCATGCACCAAAGCGAGAACGTACGCAATCAGTATCATCCGGATCACCCAGGCGAATCCTCCCGATCGAGACGAATGCTTGATGCTAAGGACGCGGAGTTCCGAAGCACCTACGGTGTCAAAGAACACAGGACATAGTAGACGCTTTGGCGCCCCACGCCCGTGACAACAGGCCTGCCTAGACTGCAATGAGATGGTAGGGCCGCAAGTTACCAGGGGATTAGATAGTTAGATTGATAGCTGACTTTGAGCTGGACAGTCCGTTACATTGTCAGTACAAAAAATGGACATCACCCGCTCGCAGGCGGCACACGTGGAGAACCCGAGATGGATGCAGTGGATTGCGTACCAGGCGGGGGAGGACGTGCGTGGATTGGGAAGAGCGCGACCAGGTCGGGGTCGGGTTAGGGTTCCTTCAGCGCGCATCCCGGCTGCAAGGCGATCCAGGTTCAGGCAGTCTGCCTTGCCCGACCATGCGAGGATCTATGCAGGGAAGACGTCGTCCTTGTTGTATGCGTCCTATGCCGTCGGCAGCGCTCGTGTGCGGATGGGGATGCTGACCTCCTCTTCCCCGTGAGGAGCACGCGTATGTACCAATCCAACCGACGATCCTGATCCGCCTGTTCAACGTTCAGGGCAACGACGTACGTACATCCAATTCCTCCTGGCAACCCAATCTTGTACTCACCTACGATTTTGACACGTAACGGCCTGCTCGTGAGTGAAGTACGAAGAGACGATCAGCGTCTCCTGATGATGGCTGATCGCGGCGCGCAGCAAAAGGACGCGCACCTTCCTAACTGCGACGTGCCATTTGCCATTTCGCGCCCATTCTCGATGAAACACGGTAAGCCCTTGTGCATTGCTAGGCTCTCGCCGCGGGAGAAACCTGGCCTAAGCCAAGAGGGGGCTCGGAATGTGAAAGGCCGCTGAATGTGAACTGAAACATCGCGAGGACTTACAACGGGAGAATAAGAGACGGTGCCAATTCCGAGTCTCGCTCCCCGGCGACTTGAAGAGCCTATTGCACGGCCATCCACACCCTCCTGCAAATGAACTGACAAGCCGCCCTTCCCCTCCCAGGCACGCTTGGTCAGCGAGCGCCCACACCGGGCCGTGCCAACAAAACGGGCCAGCAAGATCCCGGCACAGGAAACAGGAGTGGCCCGGGTCCGCTACGAGATCCCGCTGCCTGATCAGTTCCGTTGTGTGCTGCTCCATCGCCCCGTCGGTCGGGCTTGCTTGCGCGACTTTGTGGACGTGTAGCGCGGGGGAGGGGGAAATTGCCTAACCTTCGTAAGTATATGCAGGTTCGTTGTATCGTCCAGCCTGAGGTTAGTCTTCGAATTCGGTGGGAACGTTTGGGTTCTTGCGGGGACAGACCTGGATGACTCGGATCCGTATCGTTTACAACTCGAATACAGAATCATGCATAAGTATGGTCAGCTTGCTTTCTGTTCCGCCTGGCGGTGAGGAAACACCTCCCGCGCCGCCTTTAATGTCCGAAGTGCGTACAGCCTCGCAGTGAGGACGGCATTAATTCCGAGGTTCATCTGCAGCTGTGATGTAGGGGTAAGTGTGTAGGAAAGGAGGAGAGCTGATATCCCGAATCACAGGGTATGAAAATCGTGCATGGATATTTCGATTCGGTCTCTGTTGCTCCGAGTCGCAAGTGGGTGCTGCTCATTTCGTCGGTCGGTCTATATCATCCCCGTCGCAGTCATTCAAGAACAGGACGACGCTGATCTCGGACCTCCACAATCATTTCTGTACTGGTAAATGAAAGGCTGCGTGTCCCTTCATCTGCGGCTATCGTGATGTCAGTGGCGAGTGCGCAGTTTCACGAGGAGAGCTGGCATCATGTTGTAGGGCTTGTCCCGGCAGTTTGTGGATAATTCGGGTGGTCGTCTTGGCTTCTGGATGCGTAGGTGGTCATTGACTTTTCCTTGCTCGGTGGGGAACTGGTGGGTGGGTGGGACTGTCCGTTTAACTCGAAGCACCTTGACTACTTCCTGACAGTATGAGGGTCGCGCTCAGTGTCCTCTGCTCGTAGAAGGTCCACGATCCTGGATACGCAAACGGGCGAGCAAGCCCGCATGTACACCTCCACGCCCGTCTTCTTCGGCGACGCTGGTACTGGTGTCCGCTGCGCCAGAAAGAAGAAAGTTACATGTCGACAGCTGGTGATAGCGGTAGGTGTTCCCATCGTGCTCGTCCCCGGGTCACTAATACTTCTCTTTGATCATGATAGATGTGCAAAATGAGAAAGTCTTCTCTGGATCAGGACGCCCGCGTGAGGGATCATTCTTTATCATTCGCTGCTGACAGATGAGCAGACAGGGGGTCCTGCAGTCCTCCGTGTGATTGAGAGACAGTGAAGGTGTCTACTGTCATTGACTCAGTTTCCATCGTACAAGAAGGTCTCGCCCCCTCGAACAAGGTGATCTACAGTCCCCTTTCCAGCAGGCGAGTTGGCGTGGCATTCATCTGATTTGTCATCCCCTGCTCCGTCTGAACGAGTTGTGATGCGGGTGCTGGCTGGTGCCCGCATCATGGCTGGTTCGGGCTGGTGTAATTGTGGATCCATGTTGATTGGCAAGTGCGGGATTGCTAGCGTCCCTATCGTCCGCTCATGGCGAATTGGAAGGTGAGTATCCTAGTTTGCTATGATCTACCCTCAGCTCTGCATTCAGGGTACCATTCCAAATCATCCCTATCACCATTCTCTTGCATCTGATCTTCTTGGTCCAGCGGTCAACCGCGATGAGTATGAAGTCCTGCCGAAGATGCGGTGATAGGTATGATCCGATCCACCTTGCGGACCAGGGAGATCTGGTGGACGCACTGTTGTTCGGACCCGAGAGAGGAGGTACGTTGGGTGGCTCTCCTCCATGGAAGACTCTTGCACGCTCTGGTAATACTGTTCTCACTATAACGATGCGTGTCGGTGGATTGTTGAGTGTGAGGGCTGTGTGCTTCAATCTCCCTTCCCTCTTCCACTGTAACTTCCCCGGACCCCCGGGCCATTCGTCGGAGTCGGACCCCCGACATCGCGTTGTAAAATAGACGGGTAGATTAGATCTTGTAATAAACAGGATGCATCGGAGTCCCAAAGCGCGAACCCGCCGCCCTCGCGCAAGCGTCAGCTCTCGTTCAAAGTCCTTCGTCGTCGCCCCTCTTAGCTTCCGGGCTGCCACAGCCTGCGCGGCAAGCCAGCATTTACAGCCACAATGGACGTGCTCGCCCACCAGGACCAATATTTATCAGACATGCACGCGCCGTACGACGCCTTCGACTTCGACGCCGCCGCCCCCAACAGCCCCAGCGCCGCCCACTTCCCGCACACGCCCTCCTACAACGGCTCCTACCAGAACTCGCCCTTCAGCGACGCCCACTCCGACCTCTCCTACGACCCCCACGACCTCAGCATCGACATCTCCGCCGGCCACTTCATGAGCGCCAACGCCAACGGCAACGGCGGCGCGCTCTTCGAGGGCGCGGACGCCGCCGACGTCGGCATCACCGTCGAGGGCCCCGGCTTCGACTACGACCCGCGCGACTACGACGGGCCCGGCGGCGGCACAGGCGGCGGCTTGTTGCTCTTCGGCACCGACTTTGGCAGCTCGCTGGAGAGCGGGGGGAACGAGGTCTCCGTTGCCGTCACGCCGCCCATGGACCAGGGCTCCCCGCACTCGTTCGACCACTCCTCGCCAGCCTCGTCGTACGGCGAGGGCAACAGGAGCCGTGCCTCGTCGGTCTCGTCGCAGGGGCATCACCATCAGCAGTTTGACTCGTTTCAGCAGTCGATGATGTACGACCAGCGCCCGTCGCCTCCGCCGAACAAACCACAGAGCCCGCCTCAATTGCTCATCCCAGAGGGATCACCGAATATGCCTGCCGGGATGGGGATGCCGACAATCAATGCTCCAGACGGCGAGGGCGGAGGCATGGGCGGTCCCCAGTTGCACATCGTCCCGGCAACCCCTGTTAGTGGAGGAGGTGTCGGGACGGCGGTGAACGGATTCCAAGAAACACTGGAAAATCTCAGCAAGGGTGAGTCTCCTCTTCCAATTGCTTCTCTTCTGTCTGTCGATGCGGCATGGGCGGTTTCGTGTCTTCATCGCGTTGCCTTGGCGCTGCCGTGAGAGAAGCTCCGGATGGCCGTTATTCTCCAGAGTTTATACAGTTCTACGAGACAGTAAGAAGGCAAGAGCGAACCCGGGCTCGCCGTCATGTGCACCCTTATAAACATCATACTAGCGGATGCACAGTCCGGGGCGTGCTCATTGCCCGACGAGCGCGGAGCAGTCCGAAGCACGCAGCTGTGTCGGGCGTTTCCTCATTTATCTCGTATCCATTCTCTGTGCGTCGGACGTGCGCTAATTATGTTGCCTTCTCTCGCATCGCTGTTCATCCTCCTCCGCCTCTCGGCCCCATCTTCGATCTGATTCGCTACGCTGATCTCTGATCGCGCGCGGTGATATCCCGCTCCTCCGATCCCGACGACGTGTCTTCGAATCTATGCATGAAACGTCGCAACACCCCGCCCCGCGTACAAATACGCTGGCCCCCGCGCGCACATACAGGCGCACCCTCCAACAGCTCGTGGCAGTCTCCGCCGCAGGACGACGCCCCCGACGGCGCAGCGAATCTCAGCGTCCCCTTCGGCACAGCCTCCAGCGGAGGCGGTGCGTTCGTCTTCCCGAGGCCACAGCCCTCCCCGCGGACAGCCCCGCAGACCCTGCCAGTTAATACCGACCCGCAGCCCCCACAATCGACACCCAACACTAACACCAACAGCAACAACAATATTTCAGTCAACACGAACAACCTCGGCGCGTCGTCCTCGGGCAGCTACCTCCTCCCGCAGAGCCCGAGCCGCATACGCAGCAAGAGCGACACGAGCCTGCGCCCACCGCTCTGGAGCAACGCGGGCATGGGGCAGTATTCGATCCAGCAGCAGCAGTACCAGCAGGACGCGTCCGCGGTCGACATCGACATCGACGGCGCGGGCATCCGCATGGCGGACGTGTCCCCGCAGCACTCGCCCGAGCCGGGGCAGGCGTCCTTTGGGAACATCCTGCACCCGCAGCACGCGGGCATGCAGCACGGGTACTCGTTCGGCCCGCCGTCGTCGGGGGGCTTGATGGGCGCCGGCGGGAGTGCAGGGGGAGGGTTCCTGAGCCCGGACATGGGCATCGGCGCGGCCAACCTCAGGAGGGCGAAGAGCGACGGCGGGAGCAGGATGGGGCACCGGATGGTGCGCAGCGAGGATTACGGCAGCGCGAGGAGGCAAGGGATGGGCATGGACGATATGCTCGGCGGCGGGATGGGCATGCGCGGGATGGGCATGGACCTCGGCGGGCTGGGCATGGGCATGGGCGGCGGCGGCGGCGGGATGGACGGGATGGGGCTCGGCGTGTTCCCGCCGAGCTCGCACCAGGAGTTCATCTCGCTGCAGCAAAAGTCGAGCCAGTTCCTGCACCCGCACCACAGCCGCGGCGACAGCCTCACGCTGCCCTCCCCCAGTGGCGGTCTGCAGCTCCCGTTGCCCAGCATTGGCGGTCGCGGGCGGGGGGGCGGGCGGGTGAGCGGGCACACGCGCCGCGCGAGCTCGGGGAGCAGGAGCGGGCGCAGTCCGTACCCCAGCCCGTCGGCGAGCCCGCGCATGGGCGTCAGCGCCATGGGCAGCGGGTACGACTCGTACGACAGCGCGTACGAGGCGTACGACGACGTCGGCGGGGGCGGGGTGCCGAATGTGAGCGGGCTGGCGAGAGGACTTGGGCGGGACGGGATGGGCGGGGATGAGATGGGCGGGTTGATGGGTCCCGGGAAGGCTCCTGCGAACCCGCAGATACCGGTCACGAAGCAGAACGTCACGACGCATGCGACGAAGGACGCCAGCGAGCGACGAAGAAAGGGGGAAGCGAACTTTGTGTGCCCGATCCCTGGATGCGGGAGCACGTTCACGAGGGGCTTCAACCTAAAGGGTGAGTGCTTTCCTGGGTTTGTTCGTGGTTATCCCGGCTGACTTGTTTGATGTAGGCCATCTACGTTCGCACACGGACGACCGGCCGTTCCAGTGCAAGTGGCCTGGGTGCGAGAAGAGCTTTGCCCGACAGCACGATTGCAAGCGGCACGAGGCCCTTCATCTGGGCGTCCGGGATTTCAAGTGCGGAGGCTGCCAGAAGGAGTTTGCGAGAATGGATGCCCTCAATCGTCATCGTACGTGCATATATCCCCTCGCATCACTAACGTGGTGCTTATCGATTTCATTGTAGTTCGATCTGAGGGTGGTGCCGAATGTCAAAAACTACATCAAGAGGCTCAGGAGGAGAAGGCGAGGATGAGAGGCACGCCATCGTCGATGTTCCCGAAGGCCGAGCCTGGTGAATGGGCTATGGGAGGGGTGATGATGTGATCTGTGCCGATGCATCAGGCTCATGCCTTTGTTTGTATTTGGTACGTCCATGTTGCATCGTCGTCGTTGCTCGCCGACTGAGCCGCTACGCTTCAGTCCTTCCTCTCGCCGCCGCCTCCTAATCTCCTGGCCTACGGTCCATATTTGTACATACGCTCCGCATCGCAAACTCGCACGTCTTCGATCTCTCGCAATTTCCACATCGCTGTTGATGGACTGCTCTTGCTTTCGGGTTGTTTGCTTCTTGGTCTTCTCTGCTCTACAATACATATCAAACGGGACGCTTCAAGCGATTTGTTTATCTTACCTTACCACCGCTGCTGCTCGTTGACGAGCATCTTGTCGCGTCCCCGTGGCCACGTTCCCTCACGACCTCTTCTTTATTATTGCCGTTGCTTTATTTCCTGTCCCCTCATGACTGCGCTCGTATCTATATGATTGTATAGTCTCGTTCATCTCGGTTCCCGGTCTTGACAATTGTAGCGTATTAGTCAGTACATTAGATCGTCGTCAGTCGGGGTCCATTGTGTCTTATTTATGTAATCAAAGAATAAACAGCTATGTGTTGGTTCTTCTCGGTTGTTCACCCGGGTGTCGACAGAAACAAGCCTAACTAGGCTTGCGACTGTAGACGGAGTCGCGAGCCTAGTTAGGCTCGGAAACCTTATTTGCCCACCCCACGCTAATGCCCCATCTGTTTCCTACCCCACCTGTACTCTCTAACTTACGAGCCAGAGTCCCGTGTATCTAGTGTACGTAGCACTGCCCAAGGACCCCCGATAATCAGTATAAATGCCTGATCCCGAGGACCCATAAGTAGACCCATTTTGTCCGGAAGAAAATCGCCGATTTTGGACCTTTTGTCCGGAAAAAAACAGGCATCACAGCGAAAAGGCAACTGTGGCGTGGGTACGTCTAAATTTAGCTTCACCGGCAGGTGCCGGGGTAAATATGGCGTCGAAATGGCCAAGTCTGACCAAAATGTCCGGAAAAAAATCAGGCCTGTTCTCCAGAATCGGCCGATTTGTCTGTAAAAAATCAGCCATTGAGGGCTCTAAAGTCCCAGAATTTGTCCGGAACCTGATCAGGCATTTATACCAATTATCGGGGGTCCTACTGCCCAGCGTGTATAATAAACGCCGCCCTCTGTCGCCCAACTCCCCGTCCTCGCTGTCTCTCCCGTCGACCGACCGCCATGCTGCCCGCTTCCAGGCCGACTCCGGTAGGGGTCTGGTAGACCCCAACCCTAGGGCGCTGGCCACGTGTCGTACCAACACAGCGTCTCACCGACGCGGCGACCCGTGCTCGTCGTCGCCGACGATGAGCACGACTATGTTCCTCATATGTAGTCAAAAAATGTACAATAAATTTCATTAAATACAGTAAATTCGTAAGATTGTGTCATGCATCTATGTTGTCCTTGGGACATTGCTATCGATCGTCGTCGTCGTCGTAAGCACCAAGCTCACAGCACCCACCCCTCCTATACAGCCCAGAAAAATGTGACAAATGCGTGAGGTATCAATAGTATGTGTTGCGCCACATAGAGGACGGTCGATACACACTTACCCTGTGTTTATGTGCGAATATTCACCCATGTTTCATTGGTTATGGAAAAAAAATAAACATTAGCAGCGGTAGCAACTCAGGCCAAGTCAAATACTCACATGATATCAGTAACGTAGTCGTACACCACCCGTCCTGCATAAAGATATTGCTAGGCAACAGTCCTAGAACGCTGGGTGCACAGGTATAGCCCATCCAAGAAAGGAAGCGAGATAGGGAATAAAAGGAACGGTATAAAAGATGGAAGATGAGTGAAAGGTGGTGACAAGGTATACAGATTGCATAGACATACGTATCTGGAACGAATGGAGCGCCTGTTGAAGCGTATATCTGGCCGAGGTCGAGGGTGTAGTGAAGTCTTGGAGGGTTGTCCAACTCTAACCCAAGCGGTAGTAGCATCGGGTGAGGGTGTGAAGAGGGAAAATACTATAGCAAGACCATCGACAGGGGGAGTTGGTCAACGAAAGCTAGCACGATAATACCAAGGACAACGGGAACATGCTAATCAATAGCATGCAAGAAAGACTGTAAAATAAGTGTCCTACGGGTGGCGCGTAGAAAATACTAAAGCAGTAAGGCTTTAATGGATGACCGACAACTTACAGAAGCAGAGGAAGAGGTCGGGCATCATTGTTGCAGCCGCAATGCAAATGTACCCCCGCCCTTCATCCTGCCCGATACACTTCCAAGCAGTCTTAGAGCTTTTTATGGAGATGTTTCACACTTAGAACAGTCGCAATACCAGTGTAAAGTAAGCGCAGCAAGCGTAGACACCACAGTTCACGAGAGGAACGTAGAAGAGAGCTCAAAGGAAAGCGAGCGCACAGTGCCGTTCACATTAGGATTCTGTCCGAATTCATGCCAACACTCCTTGCCGTCACGACTGGGTCACACCTCTGAACCTGCTCTCGTCCGCCCGTGCCAACTGCTCCACTGGACTGATTTGCTTGGATATCTTTCTGAAAATACCTGATCCATGTCTCTAGGTCTACGGGATGTATTCTAGATCTCTGAACGTTAGTGGATGCAGGTGGTGACGATCAGGAACTCGGGCGGAGGTTGCAGGTAGGTAACCGTGTCCGCTGCACTCTATACGCCTCAGATGCATGATGAACATTCCAATAATGCCTTTATGAGGCTCTACTGCAGGGTTCCTACCTTCTGATCACGGCTCGGTGAGTATATCTTGGACACCGAGCCACGTATCTCCTGTTTATGCCGCCCGGTCTCTCTGGGATCCTCCACGTCGGTTGAATATCATGGAGCGGACTGAATGTTATGGAACTAGGTCTATGGACTATAGTGAGTGTTTACTGCTAGTCTGCTCGCATTTCCGCTGCTACATTCGCTCCTTCCCCTTCCATTGTGCGGCTCACCCCCTTGTTTGGTAGCGCATGGAAATGCGTTACAGATCCTGTTACGTGGTTATTATTTTCAGTGTCCTCATTCCATTTCCCACTTCTGCTTTCGTTTGCTCATACCTCCTCAGCCAGCTTACATCGGCTTCCCCGTTTGCAGGGTGCTCCTGTGTATCAGGCTTGCCCGGATTGTTCTCAAGACCGACCCTCACGTCTTATAAACGGTGTGACACTACCAGAGGGATGCTACATCAGTGCTTGCCATGTGTCAGAGCCCTCCTGGTGTCTGTCCTGTAGGCTGTGGCAGGTACCCGTAGGCAAAGGTAAGGATTAGCACTCATAATCATGTAGCATATATAATTATGTTATATGTGTTCGAATGGCTTCATATGCAAGCAGGAATACACTAACAGTACTTCATGCACTTATCACATTTTTCTGGGCTGTATAGGAGGGGTGGGTGCTGTGAGCTTGGTGCTTACGACGACGACGACGATCGATAGCAATGTCCCAAGGACAACATAGATGCATGACACAATCTTACGAATTTACTGTATTTAATGAAATAAGGCGGTAGGGCCGTGCGAGCGGCAGAGCCCGCTACCGTAGACATAGATAAGATTTGGTAGCAAGCTGAAAACTTGACATCCTGAGCAGCATCATATACTAATATATTTATTTTGCGAAAGCAGTTGTGTTCCAGCCATGATTTCCGACTGAGCATTCACCTCAACGATTTGAAGAGATGTCCACTCACTCCTCCCTCAGGTTCTGAGTATACAAGTCATTTATGTAAAACAGCTGACATTAAAGTATGCTGCTTTCACCTGGAGACCGCATCTCCAACGCCCCGAGCTAGGTCATGTCTGTTCCAGCATCCGCCACCTTGGCTAAAGATGGAAAGAGAGATGCCACGTGGTTCTACGATCGGGGTCCTTTGAGGACCCCATCTTTGATTGGTCCAAAGCCGTGTGCCGGTCCTGCCGTCCGCCATATACGGTTAAGAGCCAAATAGTGTCAAATAGATTGCGTAGATCTTGAAACGATCGCAGGAAACCTGCGAACGGCCGGGGGGTCCAAGACCCACTACCTACGGTAGCGGGAATTTATTGTACATTTTTTGACTACATATGAGGAACATAGTCGTGCTCATCGTCGGCGACGACGAGCACGGGTCGCCGCGTCGGTGAGACGCTGTGTTGGTACGACACGTGGCCAGCGCCCTAGGGTTGGGGTCTACCAGACCCCTACCGGAGTCGGCCTGGAAGCGGGCAGCATGGCGGTCGGTCGACGGGAGAGACAGCGAGGACGGGGAGTTGGGCGACAGAGGGCGGCGTTTATTATACACGCTGGGCAGTGCTACGTACACTAGATACACGGGACTCTGGCTCGTAAGTTAGAGAGTACAGGTGGGGTAGGAAACAGATGGGGCATTAACGTAGGGTGGGCAAATAAGGTTTCCGAGCCTAACTAGGCTCGCGACTCCGTCTACAGTCGCAAGCCTAGTTAGGCTTGTTTCTGTCGACACCCGGGTGGGTTGTTATCATGACAGCTGTTTGCAGTTCGATTCTTAGTTAGACCATGTCGGAGAGGGGAATCTGGACTTCTCTTTAGTCCTCCGACGTCCCTAGCACCTCCGAATGTATGCAACCTTTTTAAAGTGGTGGCCTATCGATCTGCAAATGGCTGGAAGGTGTAGAGGGGTGGGGTGGCTCTGTTGCCACAGCAAATGGGGTAGGCCTCCTGTTTCTTCTCACATCTGCATCACACCGTAACACGTCAGTTGCACGTTAGGAATTATGTTGGTGACGAAACACTCATCATGAAGTCATCCCACTTGTGATGATATCGATGAGCGGACGTGGCATGCCACGTCTGTAGCGCCGTGCGTGGACGTATGATACATACGTGGTGGGTAAACAAGCCCGTCCCGTTTCGTCATGATTCACGGTCGTGGGTACGCACTGCTGTGGGAGTGCATAAAGGCTCAATATTAGATCTGCTGAGGAACTAGAAGGCGCACCGCTTGGATTTATTGTACGTGCCCATGCGCTTTACGAGGAATCTAATACGAAGGTGACGCGAGCCTCTGCAAAGAGGGCACACCTGATATCGACAGAGTTGCGGGTATCGATACCCAGGCTGACTCGGACGTATTGACATTGTACGAGTTCGAGCTGTGAGCTTGTGGTGCAAGATCTCCGCTGTTAGGCCTACCCAAATAAGGTCGCAAATTGAATGTATGCTCAGAGGTCTTCTCGTCGAGTGAAATCCGCTGACGAGATAATTAGACTGGGTGCATTCCACCCCCACCCCCTGCCTCTCAAGAGGACAACATCAGGTGCTCACTTAAGCATCCTTTATGACTGGGCGGCAGCCATTACGCTTCAAAGCCGATCCGACGCCATGTCCCGGCTGATGGAATCGCACGAGGGCCACCCCAGATCCACATTGGTTCACCCCGACCTACGACACATTCGTCTTCGGCCTCGATATCTCGTCCATGATGTACCAGGGCACAGTCATGACGCTCTTCGAGCCCAACATCGTAGTCGATGCCGTTGGACGTGTCATGTCCATGTGGCAGCCCGACTTCAATTGCTTGAAAAGGGAGGTAGCGAAGGTGCAGGCCCTGCCGTACGCCCCCGCCTGGAACGTCCGCACCCGCATGACCTGTCAGCCTGGATACAATATATTCATACCTAACGCACCGACTGGGTCAATACTTGGGATGCACGTCTTCGCGCCTCGGAGAGGACGGTGGTTAGAACAAGTCACGGCGGGATACGGGATTTTACCCGACGAGCTGTACAACTTGATCAGAATGTCAAATGAAGCCCTGGATCCTGTGCTGGCATCACGTCGGTCTGCGAGCGCACATGGCGAGCATCTGGGCAACTGGAGTCTGCAGAAATCCATTAATGAGATGATCGCGCAATATGAAGAGTGGTTACCTGCGGTTGAAGATGACGACCCACAGGACCTCAATTACGAGCAGATTACGGATGATGCCGGTAGCACAAGGGAAGGAGCTATACAGGCTGTATTAGGGATTATACTTGCTCTCTTCACCATTTGCCTGACACATAGATTAATGTTGTGGGCACGTCGTCGCGGTATGGTTCTCGTACAGTAGATACCGCCGGCAATGATGCAAAGTCATGCCTGCTCTATTGAGCGATGCACTCTGGGGATAGCCTGTATAAGAGTTAAGAAGGAACACATTGTGCATGCTTCGCCGACCGTTCCCTCTACGCGACAAGCACCTGACTCCAATAATTAATCACGTGACCCCATGATCTATTTTTGTCGCCTCTTGTCTGCTCTCCGCATCAGAATCTGTCTCAGAATCAATGTTCGACAAGACCATAACCTCTACTGCAACATGTCTTTGCCAGACCGGAGACGAGTTACGTATTATTTTGACCGTACGACATTTGCCTTCCTCATTCCCGAATCCTCATTAACCACCTCGGATTCTGTCAGCGGAAGTGGGAGGATATACTTACGATGCACCTCAGAAAGGGGAGGGCAGACACTGCATGAAACCACACCGCATATTCATAACGCATCACTTGGTTCGCGCATACAACATGCTTGACAAAATGCATGTCTTGGTAGGAGAACATTCAGAGCGCCATGTGAATGACATTGTGAAACAGCTCAGCGCGCCAAGCGCGCTACCCCAGAAGACATGACTCGGTTCCACACGGACGAATGCGTGAATTTCTTGCAACGCGATACACCGGAGACCGCTGAGGATTTAACTTATAAGTATACCAGATGTGAGGATAGGTAGCTTGAAAGTATAATTTACGCCGCTCACGCATGCTTATCACAGTCCTGAGCGCAGACGGTGATAACCCCGCTTTCGAGGGCTTATGTATTCGAGTTCTGCTCGATAGCCGCCGGAGGCTCATTAGGTGGGCCGCGTACTACATCTTGTAAGCATGGGTACTCATTCATGTCATTTTATCCAGCGGCTGCACGCGCAATCTCTTCCGGCGCCGCCGACATCGCCATCAACTGGGCGGGTGGTCTGCACCACGCAAAGAAACGCGAGGCGTCCGGGTTCTGCTACATCAACGACATCAACCTTGCCATCCTCGAGCTCGCACATACCCCCGCATCCTCTACATTGACATCGACTACCACCACGGCGACTTCTTCCCGGGTACGGGGGATTACAGGGACACGGGGTTTGGCAAGGGTAAAGGCTATTCCGTTAACGTGCCCCGCGTGAGGGAATCACGGATGAAGCGTACAAGAGTCTCTTGGAGCCTGTATGTGCACCTATCTTGTATTTTAGACAACACTGACCTCGTATTTAAGATCATCAGCAAAATACTCGAAGTCTTCCGGCCCTCCGCAGTGATACTCCAATGTGACGCAGATTCCCTGGCCGGCGACAAGCTCGGCGAACTCAACCTGAGCATGCACGGGCACGCCGCCTGCGTGCAGTTCCTCCGCAAGCAGAACGTCCCGCTGATGCTCCTTGGTGGCGGCGGATACACCGCGAAGAACGTCGTGCGGACGTGGTGCTACCAGACCGCCTGCGCGCTCGCCATCGAAGACACCATCGACCCCATGTTGCCGTACAACGCGTACTTCGAGTGATTCGGCCCGTGGTACCGGCCCGAGGTCCCGGGGACCAACCGGGAGGATTATAATCTGAGGGACGGATATGTTCACGAGATAAGGCAGGTTTCACCCGCTTCGCGCGAGAAGCGAGAATAGTCCTCATTCCGTTATATTTTAGACAGATTGTGCTGCAACAGTTCTCTCAATTGCAGCCTGCACCTTCGGTCGGCATACACGACGTCCCCAGCGAGAGTGTGGGGGAGCACCTAGGCTGGCGGATGGCAGAAAGCGAACCACGGGACGAACTAGACAAGGACTTGGCCCGTACGTACACTTCTTACTTCCCCACGTCGAACGACGTATCTCCAGAACATGCACGGCTTGTCTACAAGATCCGAGAGGCCACTAGGATGAGACAGACGACACCGATCTGGATTCGCTGAGCCGGCGCATGCCCCGGCGCGCGCCCGGCAAGCGCATGAGCATCGTCACGAACAAGGCGCTGGACACCCCGTAGTTGCACGACTTTCGAGCGCGGGCATGAGGCCTACTGCGGGCACGTCGGAAAGCGCACGAGACGATTCTTTGAGTGGGACGATAGTTGGCGGGGGCCGATGGAGACAGGTTCTCCAGACGGAGACGAGGTCTCCATCCGGAGACACGCCCCCCACTAATATACAGTAATCTGGGCTAAATTTTGCTCGAATGCAAAGAGGAGCACGTATAGCAGAAACATAATATGTCGAAGGGCATTTGCTGAATGTTCAAGCTTCGAGCAGATTCGCGTGGATGTGGATGGATCCTGCCGACTGATCCAGCAGGCCTGACCTGCCACGACTCGGACAGCGATTGCTAATCTTGTACGTTCAACAGTTGCAGTCTACAACCAGATACCGCTGGGATTGCGTCACGAGCTCGCATGTAGAACAACGGTGCAGCTTATAAATACAGGCTGAGAGGACTGTACCCACCCGCTTGCACCTTCATACTACGAATTCGACTACTTATTACCTTGCTGACGGGGCAGAATTCGAACCCACTCAGTTCGAACGGCATACTATCATTCGAAGCACCTTTGTCAGGGCGAACGAAGGTAATCGAATCCTGCTTTCCTTTTATCTTTAGGTTAAAGTTGAAGTAGATACCGTGTAAGGGAGTGTGAATCCGTGTTGCCACTTTCCATGTTATACGAAAGACATATTTATGCGAGCCACTCTGCAGCTGTGTATGTACATCACCGCAAAATACTCCTTGCTACTTGTTACTCTGGGTCTATGGTAGGATCGCATCCATGTGGCACACTTTCAGTCATCAATAGGTCCAGCGCGTTCATTGAAGGGACCACTAGGAGATACCGGACTCGACGACAGGAATGGAAGACGAATAGCTCCGGCAGCTGGTATCAAAGCATTGGAGCTGCATGTAGATGGAGAAGGTGCATACATTAGTAGCATTGGAAAACATTGGGAAGACGTCACATACCGCATGAGTGCATACAAAGCACGGATCAATTGAATGATGCTCCTGGCCAAAACGACCGAGGCTGTAAGGACACCTATCACAAATCTAGGGCGGCGGCCCAGGACGCCGAGCAGAATCAATGCGACCCCGTTGAAGATGATGAAAACGACGTCAAATATCCCAAGGTCTGACACCGTAAATGCCTGGCAATGAAATTTATGAAATATCGCAGGGTGATACCAGGAAACCATTCTCACAGAAGGCGGGACATTTGCCCTCAGAACCCATTCGCCTAGGAGCACTAGCTCGAACATGAGCAAGAGGCAATGTCGTTGCTGCCATGTCAGAAACAGCGATCCTGCAGCGGCACAGGTTCCAGCTACATACGTCGCAATGCTGACGTGCTGCGATACGTTTGTGACAAACTCCGCGAGAAGCGTCTTCAGGTCGAAGTCATCAAGATCCGGCTGCAACATGCCTCCTGCGAATCCGTCTCCAGGCCGCTCTGCGTCTATCGTTGACAATAGTGTAGCGTAACTGATGGTATTAGGATTATTATTAGAATGCGACAATGACAATATCACACTCACCTCCTCATTGCAAGGACAAATCGCAGGAAGTGCGTCACAATACGTATGAACAGCAAGCACGCTGCCGCAACCGTGAGGTGAACTGTGACAAATTCGCTTGGAAGGGAAAGAGACAGTGGGAATGTCATCACTACAAGGATGCCTAACGCGAGATCTGCCATGTTCCAAGCGACAGTCCAGAAGCGCTTCCAAGAGTAACAGTCCATCAGTCGCTCAGCAATGTCAGTAAATATTGATTCCACTTACTTCGTCTGCGACTAAGACTCTGAGAGTCACCTCAGATACGGTGCACGAAGCGACGATATGGTACAAAATGTAGAATGCCGGCTTGGGAAAGTGCCTAGTTCTGCCAGGTCCGAGTATAATTAAGTTGACAGACAAAGCTAGCAATGTCACATAGTAAATCGTGTATAGCCCAGAGTGCTTGATACGGTTGGATAAAGACCGGATGGTGGAGAGGCTGAAGCTCATTCGTCATAAGGCTACAGAACTGTTGCAGAGTGAAGACTTACAAGGGAGGCGACTTGGTCGACGTATCCACTTCCGCGTGGGATGAGGGATTGGATTCCTTCGAAGACATTATCGCAACGCCCGCGAGAAAGAGTTCGGGAGATGACTGCTGTGGTGGGACTCATCAGTGTTTATATAAGTAGTGGCTCCGCTGATCGAACCTTGTTGGTGGCCAAAGTTAGGCTAATCGTGATGGACGTGTGGACTTTTAGTGTTCACTAGCACTCCCAGTGAAAGTAGACATTTGCTTCCCTCGCGAACCTTTTCCGGGCTTTGAGGACCTTTTCCTGCAGAATGTATTCCCACACTCAAATCGATGATTCATTGCCAGATCCTCGACCTAATAATTCCAACGCTGCCAATCTTGGCCTTCGCTCGACAGCAAACTCTTACGCTTTCGATGTCAGTCAATGGAGCGCAAGTGAACTAAGTCCAAGACACTCGTAAGAGCATGCCTTAAGAGTCTGACTTTCTTTTTACCTGACGTCACTGCCGCTCATCCCTCCACTCTGCGTCTTGGATGCTGTAGACAACGGTGTGTAGTCTGCATATCAGTTACGCTGGTAATCAGACAGTCGTTCAAGTGGTACATTTCGCGTGGGAATCCAGTGTACGTGCGGATTTGTGACCCCGTGACTGGTCGACTACGAATGGTCAATATGACCGAGAGTTAAAGCAGTTTAGGGCGGGCTGATTAGATTTAGGGCCGGTCCAGCTTCTGTGACTCCCGCGCGTATACTGGATTCCCACACGAAATGTACCACCCGGTCTTCAAGTGACTCTGCCTCATTCACTTGAACGACCGTCTGGTCACCAGCCTAATTGATATGCAGACTACGGTATACGTACTGAATATCGAATCTTTATTCTTTTCAGTCTTGTGCAAAATTTGCTGATCAGTCGACACCTTGGATTGAGCATAGGAGCAGTCAACAAGCTTAAGTAAAAGGTGAGTTGTGTGCTTTCAGGGAAACCAACCTCGACCACTCCGGGCCGATACTCAAGGAACAGCCTTGCTGACCGAATGGCAGGTCCCTCGGATTGAACAAGCCTCCAGCCCTCGGTGTGTCTACTCTAGAGCTCTGCTTCACGGTTAATGTTCTGTACATCGGATATTCCATGAGGCTGGAAGGCTGGAAGCGGATGCGACAAGGAACCGCAAATAAAGTGCCACCTGTCGCCCCCGCCTTTATACATGTATATCGCGCAGTTCATTTGTAGACCCCCCCTCGACCGTAAAATTCACGCGAGTTCACTTGGATTTCCGTATAGTGATTTCTCGGCGTCCGTTTCCTCAGACAAATGCCTCGGCACCCTTGCGATGAAATTCGTCCAAAGTTCAAACCACTACCTCAAGTACCATCGCATGAACACGGGAATTTTGTCTCCAGCCGATAACCTGGCGACTCACAGATACCCTGTTTGGCATCAAAGCGCTCGTCCCTCATATGTTATGTCTTCTTCGTATGTGGACGGCGGCGCATCTTGAAGTTCCCGCTGCGCGTGCTCTTCCTGCGGCCATTCCATCTGCGGCACTGTCTCGACCTCCGCCTGCCAGTGAGCAGCATGTAAGCCACGGGACGCGTAATGATACGCTACAAATGCGCTACGCCCACCTCTGTTTTCGGCAGTCCGCTGTCAGAAGGGGCCGCGGATCGGCTTATCGAGACTGTATGCCCCCCTTGTGGTAAGTCCTCGATGCATCGCTCTCCTTGTCTCTTCCATAACATTTCTCCCTGTCGAGAAGGCACGTCCGGGTGGAATGGAACAGGCGAAACGTACCCGGCGCCAGGATTGCCACTGGCGTTGGGACGGCGTCCGGCGTCCTCAAGATCTAGCACTGGTACTGATCGACAGATGCATCTCGATTCTCTCTCGAGGAATGTACAGACCTACTCCTCAGCGTACTCAGCAGCAGTAGACAAACGTCATAGGCACGATTCTCACCTTCATCATTAATGTCCCCAAGGTTTGGTATATCTCTCGGAGGCCTGTCCGTCAATTTGTAAGCGGTATGTGATGCGAGGGGGTCGTCCGTCTGGCGATTCTGCCTTTGCGATGAGAACACTAATATGTATGTCATCAGGCCTACGATGCCGATGAGACCGAATATTCCAGGGATAATGAAGCCCGCGATGTCAGGGGGCATGTCACCCATACTGTTGTACCATGTAGCACCCCGGGGCGGACTGCTGCTTCCGAAGGAGAAGTATGGGGCAATTTGTCGATACATCCAGAAGTCTGTCAGAATTTATAATGGGTGTGGTATGCCGCCTGATTGGCAGATTGTTGATGCATTACCTTCTTATAGAGCAGGTTCATCTACCCAACTGCCTATTCACTTGTGTTGCCCTGATTCCTTCCGAGTGGCTCTTGAATATACATAGAGGTTGCATGTTCTCACCACTTTGTACTCCTCCCGCTAGCAGGTCCCGCATGATGTGAGCATGGTACATGTCGGGAGAAAGCTTCCCGCCGGCGCCGTGAATGGGGCTTCCCGCCACGAATGGTCATGGGGACCCTAGCGGGAGTTTGGGAGATCACGGCTGAGCCGGGACTCCCGCCCAGAAAACCACATCCACGGCGCAGTAAGAAATACATGTCATGAGAAGTACATGGGTGCAATGAAAGCCATGGGCGCCTCAACCTCTCGTGCCACCCGAAGACCCGGTGGGAACAACAATGTGTAGAGAGGAAAGCTATCAGGCACTGTACAATCTGCAGCTCATTAAAAGGTTGGGCAGGGAGGGAAAAGTCAAAGCGGAATATGTAAAGCCCATGCGGCGCACTTGGGTGGGCGTGTTGTCGCCGTCGAGGGCAGGAACGGAGACCGTGACCTGCGTAACGAGTACGATCATACAAAGTGCACGCACTGCCTGGTCCATCACAGGTGGGCTGTGCGATAGTGTGAACTCGGCGCTTTCCAAATTCACATCATACGGCATTCGCAACTAAGTATCTGTCCTCACACAGGGCGTTGCGATATCATGATGAACTGTACTGAAAGAGCGCGGACATTTATGTTCGCTGTTTCCCGGATCTCTGGTGAGACACGACTTCATTCCTTTTGTATTCATATGATACGACAGGTTGGGGGGAAGTACCCGCTTGCATGGTGTCCAACAACACGCTAGCCGCTTCAATACTATTACCTTTGAGTCGTGCAGCACGTATCATAGCCTCTTAGCATCTAGTGCTGGCGTAGACTTGGGTCGCGAAGCACTACGAACGGGGTAAGCACGTGAAGCGAGCAAACATCGGTTCAGCACATACATTGTAGTTGTCCGCGTTAATGGCAGCCTGGGACGGGCTCGTTCTTCCGAGATTCTGGTCGTAAGAGCAGCCATATCCAACTGTAGCAAACCAACATAAGCGTGATGTTTGAACTCAAATTGAAGAGCTCTCACTGTCATCAGTGCCGGAGGTAGCGTGAGTGATTTCGTGCAAAACGGTACCGCCGCGGATGTTCCTGGAGGCAACGGAAGTGTCGCTGCACAAGCGGCTGGTCGTAACTTCGTCATAGAAGATAGAGCAGAAGCTGAGAAAATGACATCAGGACTTCACTGCGATCGCGGTAAATGTTAGGCAACTCACTAGATGTTGGTGGTGGATGTCACCGTGTAGGCAATGACCTGTGAGGAATCGGCTGAACACGATGCTCATCTACGGTAAAAGCTGGACATACGCCATTGCCGCAGACACTGTACGGGTCGTTACAGTTCAGCGTTCGGCTGCCGGAATTCTCGTTGGCGACCCGCTGGTTAGACAAAGGGATGAGCCTCAAGGTGTATATAGATATCCAAGCCACATACGTTAAGCACGTTGATGACCGTCGAGGTGGGGGTGCTGCCGAAGTAGGATGTATACAGAGAATTGGCTCCATTGCTAGATACATAAGAGGAGGCGATGGAAGCAAGTGATTTGCCCTCTGTGTAGCTGATAGTATCCAGTATTTATCAATACTGCAGAAAAGCGAGAAAAAACCATGAACTATTCCGACCTGGAAGAGATAAAGCTCCTCTGGCTGGAGTTGGAACAGCTAACCGTCGCGCGCTTGGCCTTCAGCTCCCTCTTGGACACGTCGCCTTTCACTAAGACCGATACCGGCTGTGCGCCGATTTGCGCCTTGGCGCGGGACACGGGTTCACCCTCGTTACCCCAAATTTGGAAGGTGGTCACGGGTTCGATGGAGTACGAGCCAGTGCCGAGGGACTCGAAGTCGTACAGCGAGGCGACTGACAGTACGGTCAGTCAAGTGATATGTATGGGTATCAAGATGTTACGAACCCTCATGCTCGACAGTGTAGCTCTGACCGGCGGGAATGGTAACGAACGCTTCATCACCGACTTTCTGAAGATCCAAGGAAATCTATGTCACGGAGGACGTTAGCAGACGGCATAACAAAAAAGTAACTTATAGCGCACCTTAATCCCCGTGAAGTTCGCGGCAACGCCGTCCTTGGAGATTACGAAGGAGCGAGTGGGTGTGTCCGCGTCCAGGACAGTGCCGTACTTGAGAATCTTGACCTCTTCGGCGCCCGTATTCTTGACCGTCGCCGTGAGCTTCAGCTCGTCGATGGATTCGACCGAGGTTGGCCCGGTCAGCGAGACCGACAGAGCTTGCGCTCGCTTGGCCGGGCTGGCGAGAGCCAAGGCTCCGAGGCTGAGGGTGACCAATGACAAACACAGCATGGTTTATCTGTGAAGGAAGGCGCAAGGCACTCGGCTCGTCGTTCTGGCTTGAGGGCGTTGACGGTCCTCGACGCTTTCTCTTGCAGCGTTCCGACTGGCTTTTATACCATGAGGAGGAGGAGGATAGTGATGCCACCCACGGCATTCCTGATGGCAGTGGGGACGACAAGCATGGTTCCGAAGTACCCTTGTTGCTTCTATGGGCCCAAAGTCAGACAGTCGCTGCGAAGAAGGAGCATGACCAACACTATGTGCGAATGATAGGCATGATTTGATCAGCTTTCCACATGCTGGATAGCTGCAGACGGGAATGGAGGAAATTTCTAGACGGATCAGCCTGAGTCCTCAGATATGAGACCATGAGTTCCTAACCCAAATGCTACAAACATTCTCGCAAAATGATAAAGAAAATGATCCGGTACAGCCTGTCGTCCATGCTCAAGATAATGGCGACGGACACCGTTAACAGGATCCAGACACGTCGTAACCAGCGGTAGATGCCTTCCAAGCAATCGAAGTCCACAAGACAGACGTCAGGCTTTGATAGTCTGTCCAACTAGGCTGGTGTCCGTGCTGACCACCGCCGGGTGTCATACGTACAGGAAGTCCCTTCAACGATGCCAAGGAACCAGCAGATAGACCTCCCAGAAACGCCCAGGAAATCTAACTCAGGCCGGGCTAACCTTGAAGTTTCAATCCGAGTCGGATTGAAACTCGACTCGGATTGAAACACCAAGGCCCTTCCCCCCCTGGAGTGTGTAGCGCGACCCGGGTGTCCACGGCGGCGGAAAGACTTTTGCGAACGCAGCAGCCGACATGCAGATGAAGAGACAAATGGCTCTATCAGAGCACAGATGCCAAGGCCTACCGCCGGTCGACCAACATTCTCTATCGAGGCACAGAACCAATCGCAGCTAAGACACTGGTTGGCCAGATAGGCGGGCGGAAAGGATCCGCACCGCGAAGCAGCGATGGTCGGACCCGGCTGGTCCCGACCTGGAAAATAATGCATCCGAGTATTCGAATTTGGCGGGTTGGAGGTACATGTAACATGTAGCATGGTAGCGTACAGTAGTACTCCGAGTCCACTGGAGGATGCGCATGCACCTTAGTGCATTTGGATGCTTATCGCCATGCCGGTGAACGACACATTAGGTACCGGTAGCAGAAGAAATAATACATTGATATCGTCGAGAAGTGTACAGACCTATACATGAAGTGTACAATGTACATGTAAGACAGATAGAGATAACACGTTGGAGTATTACGACGACTTTACAACTACACGTGTGACAAGACTATAACAACAACACATACATGCACTGAGCGAGAATACACGTACATTGGCAGGGTATGGCACAGGATTTGGGGGAGTATGGATTAGGTACAATGGTAACGAAATGGTAGGGAAACGTCAGAGTCGCGGCTCTACGCTTAATGCAGATACTTCTCGTTGAGAGTGTGGACCTCTCTAGCAAGGTACGGCCAATTCAAGCTTCTGGCAAGTTCATTTCTTAGTTTCTCTTCGTCGTCTCCGGCGCGTTCGCGAGCAAGCTTAACCTCCCAACCAAGGAGGTTATAGAGAAGACGCATGTTGGGTTGTATGAGGACAGACAAACGTCGAGACCGGACGATCAAGTATGCATCAACCAGGGGCAGACCAAGATGTTTCATCACATACGCGATCTGATCGACCAATCAATACCTTGGACGATGGAGAACAAGCTGACACTTACCGTCACAGTCGCGCTGCGAGATACGCCTACTCGACAATGCACAAGTACTTGACCACCAGATAGTCTAGCCTTTTCGATCCACTCGCAGATGGGTTCAAGCTGCGGAGCCAACGTGTCAATGCCGTCGTCGCACACGCCCTTGATGTCGAGAACTTTGATTCGTCCCTCTTTCTCTTCGATCCATAAAGATCCTTGACTTCCGGGTCCCTTCCCTGGAGTCATGGGGCACCCCTTGTCTGCGGGAGCGGGAGCGTGCACGGGGAAGTTAGGAGGTGGGACAAGAGCACACTCGCCGACGGAGACGACGTGAGTGATACCAAGTGCATGGAGCATGTAGGCATTCGTGGCATGATTTCTGGCAGAGGCGTAGAATGCGTCAGCATCATTGTATACCGGCGAACGGCATAAAACACCACTTACAGGTTACCAAGATACAAGAAAGGCAGGACTCGGCTTGGGAAACTGCCATCGAACCTGGCGTCATTGAACCAAGTATCATGGTTCGGGATGAAGGTAGGCAGCGCAGGACTCGTACTTGCCCTCGGCCTTCTGATCTGCTGTCCATTCCGATTATGCCACGGGGCCATCATAGCTATTGATGGCGAAGAGCTGCTAAGCGCCGGGGCAGATTGAGGTGAGGCCGGATCACCTTCGACATCGTGTCCGGATTTGACTTGTGGCACGTTTATGGTCGATATCGAGACTGAATTCGCAGCAGGTCTTCCATTTAGCGTGACAGACGAGTACGCCGGGCCTGATACTCGGGGTGGGTACCGAGCTTGAACGACCCCCACAGCCGCCCCACTCTTCCCCGAAGCACTTGTAACCTGCCTGTCCTTCTCGAACCGGGTCTCGACACGCTTCAGCACCGCCAAATCGCCCTGGTAGACAAAGAAGCTCCTCTTCTTCTCGACCTGAAGCTCGAGGTATGCTTCGGGGAGCGTCAGCTTACGGAGCGCCATCAGTAGCGCAAGAGCAAGTACTGATGACTCCGTGTATCCATCGGAAGAGTGTATGAGCACCTTCAAAGGCCGCGAGCGGCGGTGAGCCAAGGGAGGCGAGATGTATCCCGATGATCCAGAGACAGACCGAGCGTGGCTGGTAGGGGTTTCACCGAGTGTTTCAGCATCCGCCGCATGATCCGCAGGCCTCAAAAACTGTTCCAAGAACGCTATGAACGGCACAATAGCGCTCATGCTGACGGCCGTCGCTGGCGGGCTGCTCGGGAATGGAAGATGTATAACAGCATTCGCGTTCGGCGGTGGCCTGGGCGGAACATCCACATCCTTCTCGTCGACATCCTTCATCACCTCATCACCTCCCTGCTTCTGCAACCACTTGTCCACCCACATGCTTTCCAGTGCCGCGAGATGATCCTCTGCCGCCCTCAAGTGCGCAGTGGTGGGGAACGGCGCTGCGTCGTGGCACTGCACACACACGTCATACCCAAAGCCGTTCTTGGGATCGTTGTCCGTGAAGTCAAACAGCTCTTCGTCCTGTCTGCGCTGCTGCGAGTGTGGGTACGCCTCAGGCGCGAGAGGGACGTCGTTCGAGTTGCCAAGGAACACCTGCCCGACGAGCGGGTTCCAGTACGTCTGCGGGCTCGACGCGGATGCTTCTTTCCCTTTTTCCTTGTCCGCCGCAGGGAACCAGGAGAAGATCTCCGATGCCTTGGTCAGGTCGCGCATCTCTTCCTTCTCGCGCTGCGCGAAGTCGATCGTGTTTGCCTTCAGCATCTTCTTTTTGCTCTTTTTCTCCGGCTCGGCGTCGAGCTCCATCTCGCCCACGACGTGTGCGTCCGTGCTATCCGTGTGTGCTGTCCCGTTCACCTTACCATGACGGTGATCTCGGTCGCATTCGGCGGGCCGACCCTCAGACTCATCATCCGAATCGCTTAGAAGCTCATCTTCCTGTCGCATCAGGAGGCACTGAAGCTCCTTCCTCGCCTCGCTCGGACTAGCGTCGAGCACGAAGACGTTATAAGGCACGAGGTCTTTCGCAGCATCACCTACGATTCAATAGATAGTCAATTGTGTGGCACAATAACGAGGGTGCACCGCGATACTCACCTAACAATCTCTGACGATGTTCCCTTTTCCTATCTACAGCTTCCCTGAACCGTTCTGCCAGCAGCAAAGCGTGTCCAGTGTTTCCGGTGGGTGAATACACCACGATGTCCGAAATGGTCGCGTATATGGGCTACATTGACAGGTAAAGGCCGAGGCACATAATTAGCTTACGATTCTGACACATATAGAACCCTGAGTTACACGATGACAGACGGGCAACAAAATTGAAGAGATGACGATCGAGGCAGGGAAAGAGAAGAAGACTCACCACCTGGACTCCGAAATTCCTCAAACTAATCCCCTCCGGGACGTTAGCGCCAGCAAACTCATACTCATACTCCCAGCGCTCCTCGGCCTTGACTCCCTTTGCGTCGTTGACGTTGACAGCGGATGTGACACGTTTTGGGATGGGCTTCGGCTTGATCAGGTCGCGTTGGAAGAACGTGGAGGTGAGGAAGAACGGGGGAGGCTCGGGATACGGCGAAGGCGGGGGATGCGGGTGCGGCGACTGCGTCTTCTGGTGCAGCTCGGAAAAGTTGACGTGAGTTCGGGCTGGAGCGTGCGACGGACTCTGGCACTCGGTATTGAACAGCGAGGCATCGGGCGGACAGATAGGCGAATTCGGAGGGGAGGCGGAGTACACCGAGGTGGGCACGCTCGACACCCCCGAGCTGGAGTAGGACGACGAAGTGGTGTACGACGAGGAGACAGTGGACTGGGACGTGGTCGATGCGCGCCGGTCGTGCGTCTGGTTCGCGGACGACGTCGGCGTTGGCGTGGCAGACGGCGAGGTGGCGTCGGGGGTGAACGGGATCGGGGAGGTGGATGGCGCGGACGTCGAGCGATGGTGGACCGGGTGCATCTGGATGTGGGACGACTGCCTCTCCTTCCCCTGCCTGTGCCCTCGGTCGTCCGTGTCAATGTCCATGTCGTCTGCCCCCTCCTCGTCTGCATAGTCGTCCGAATCGTAGTCGTCCTCCTCGTCCTCCTCATCCTCGTCGTCGTAGGGATGGCCGTACCCGTACCCGTCGTCGTACCCGCCCAGGCTGCTCAGACCGCTCGTGTTGGGCAGCTGTGAGCCAGATGGCCGCCGCGAATGGTGCGAGCGCAGCGCGTCCGGCTCGTCCGTCGATACCCACACCAGGCCGCGGAAGTTGGGGATCTTGACGCCACCGGGTCTGGAGCTGCTGGTTACGCTTCACACTTGGATTGAACGGCAAATAGATATATGGCACGCACGACGACGACCCAAAGAATGCTCTCAGCGCATCACTGCCATCCTCCAGTCCATGCAAGAACGGGAACAAGACCGAGTCTGGCGCATGGCTCAGCGCGTACCGCAGATGGATCTGCGAGAACTGCGATGCGGTCAAGGCGCGAATAGGTTGCGAAGATGAGGGGGTCAGCGGGTCGTTGCTCGGCGGCGAAAGCACGGGCAGCGATGAGATGAAGTCGGGGTCGTACGTCAAGCCGTGTTCTGACTGTCGTCCGTAGTTCTCTTCGCTAGAAATTTCGGTAATGGATATGCGAGTCTCGGCAGGGGGACGGGGGTCAGCTAACGTTGACATTACACGTTAATTCACAATACTCGTGCGTCGTCGCTGCAGTGTTCGCGGTCGCCGTCGTCGTCGTCGTCGTCGTCGTGGACGTCGTACGGAACAAAGGGGCAAGGTAGAGTTAGACGCTTGGCAATAACGGGTAAGGCGAGGCTGTGTCCAGAACTGTATTGAATCCGCCTTCGCTGCTTCTCCCCTTCTATGTCGGGTATGGCGTGACCCAAAGGCTGATGCGGTCGCTCCAGCTGTGGGGAACGGCAAGGACGACCAGGAGGACGCCGAGCACGATGTGGCGGAAGTAGACTAAGAATGCACAAGAACGCAGGAGAACACGCCGAGCCAGTGCCACAGCAGGAGGTGGACGATCGACATCCCCCACCGCCAACAAGCATAGTGGAATTGAGTGGAGGAGGTTGAGATCTAGAACTAGAACAACAATTACCGCATCCCACGATCTAGGCTCAACACTGTTTATCTATAGCCTTATCTCCTTCCCCCTGTCTGACCCCGGGGACGCGGGGGTACATCGGCTTCGCAATTTGCGGTGAATCGCGAGAACAGAGGTGGCAGGAGGGTAAGGACACAGGGCAAAGGAGACCCGGGATAGGGAAAGATGGGGAGGCAAGAGGGAGAGGAGTATGAGGAGCGAGGCCGATGTACAAGGGATGGGAGGAGAAGAGCACGGATGAAGAAAGCAAGAACGGGTGAAGTGGAAGTGGATGGTGAAGGTGACGAGGGTAGGGATAATGAATGAAAGATCAACAATAATGAACATACGAAAACAGTTATGCATAGGAATATCTGAGATGAACTTTCGATATGTACTTACTGGGAACTCCGCCCATCTGGCCTGATGCAAGTCTGAGAGTTCCAAGCCAAGACATACCTTACCAACAGGGAAACCTTACTGACTATTATCAGTCTACAAAGCAGAACATGGACCCACTGATCACAGGTCAATAACTCAGCGAATCTAAAAATGATGGAGCTGGTGAATTCGAGTGACCTGGGCAGAGTACTAATCCTCACCTAATGCATTGCACTTCAGTACGATAGTTTGTGCATCCTATGCCAGCAGTGAGAGGAACACAGAGAAAAATAGTGGTCACTGTCCTGGTAGACACCGGGAATGAGGAATATATACTCGGCCAGTCACAGTTCAGCCTGACAATCAAGACAGAAGATACGGCAGCAAAGTAACTGGCAATGACAGTCAACACCTAGAGTCAGTGTAATGGTCCACGGAGGAAGGATCACCACCTAGAATCCATGCAGAGAGGAGCACGGCGATAGATCAACATACCACCAGCATCACACGACATCTGCTCCCAGAAGGGATGGGAGGCAGGTACCAATGCTATTAGCATTTCTGCGCCATGGGGTCGGCGTCCGGAGACTAAAGGACGAACCTCGAGAGACGCCGGCAAAGGTCCGGCACTCTTAGCGACGGATCACCGAAGAGATTTCCGGCGCATATAGCCTGTATACAGTCTCAACATTCTGCGCCATTCAGCATCTACCCTGGGAACCCATCCACCATCCGACAACATCTGGAGAGTAAATGTGGACGGGCTATGAACCGCTATACTGAACTCAGGAGGGTACCGGCAGCGATATCCTTGGCTGCGTGTAGATCATATATGACCCCAAGACGTGCTTGCAGAACGATGGGCCACAACTCCAAAAGAGGACTCACACTGTTCTACGACGCAAGTTTAGACTTCTGTCGGTAGGCCACTACACACATCGAGCAACCGATAATATGACACGCGGTGGCATTCAGTCCCATATGTCAATACAATATTGTGAATTCCACACAACCACCATATACAGTCATATACTCCCCATATGGGAGCTGAGCCACAGACGATCCCCTACAACGGTAATGTCAGGGAATATCAAATAGAAACAAATGCATTACCATATTTGAATATCAATTTCCGCAGATATACCCAGTGATAGAGCAAATATGGATAAATATATGGAACAATGGGGAAGTCCGGTTTTTGGCCTGATACAGTACAATGAATCATAGCTAAAATATCAAAGCACATCTCGGGTTGATAGCGAATCCGGAATATGGATGCAAATAGCGTAACACATAGCATAAAGGTGCGATATACCTGATTCGGGATCGTCCGGTATATAATCGGGCCGCCGACGGGCCGCCAGTGGCTGCATCGGCAAGCCACTCAATAGCCGGCGGCGGCCCACCGGCGGCTAAGAGCGGCTGGG